TGTGTTTAAGGCATGTTTCAGGCGTGTTGTTGGCATGTATTAGGCGTGTTGTTGGCATGTTTCAGGCGTGTTGGCATGTTTCAGGCGTGTTGTTGGCATGTTTCAGGCGTGTTGTTGGCATGTTTCAGGCGTGTTGTTGGCATGTTTCAGATGTGTTGTTGGCATGTTTCAGGCGTGTTGTTGGCATGTTTCAGGCGTGTTGTTGGCATGTTTCAGGCGTGTTGTTGGCATGTTTCAGGCGTGTTGTTGGCATGTTTCAGGCGTGTTGTTGGCATGTTTCAGGCGTGTTGTTGGCATGTTTCAGGCGTGTTGTTGGCATGTTTCAGGCATGCATCTTCTGGTTGCATGTTGTCACACTACAAGTGAGTCTCTGCTGAGAAGAGTGCTCTGTTTAGAGAGAGAGAGAACGAGTGAGTGAGTGAAGGACAGCAGAGCTAGCATTAGCGTGGGTTAGTCTGCACTAGCAGCGGTCGCAGGTAAAGCAGTCAGTGATTATTCCACTATTAATACCATCAGACAGGTTACATTACAACAACACACAGGAAGCAAAGTACAGACGCTCAGCCGTAACCCTGAACACGCCTGGGGACTTTCCAGGTTGCACTCAATAAGATTTCCGTCTGTGAGAGTAACTGGCTCAACTCAATATTGTAAGGCACTCGCTGCAGAGCTTTTTGAGTTGACTCAACCTAAATCGAGTCTGGTGCAGTAACAACTCCAAAAGCTGTGCGGTAAATCGCCTCACAGTATTAAGTTGAGTTCTTACAGTGGAGTGTGTTTGCTGTTCCACACAGCAGAGAGTGTGTGTTTAAAGTGAAGCAGACCAAACTCCTCAGCGCCGGTGTGACGTCTGTGGGCGTGTAGGTATCGCTGCAACCCGGAGACCTCCAGGTAAGTTGGATGACCTCCAAGTGGGAGGGACTTACGCAGCAGTTGGGCTGGGTTTAAGTGGTGTAGGTGGAGAAGACCTTTATAAAGCACATCAGGTTACTGTGAGGTTGGGTTAGGGTTGATGTAGGTGTAGACATTCATAATACTGGACTCTGTGTCATTAGAACATGAAATAATGAAACACTCCAGGTTTGTACAGCCCCTTGGAGATGGCTCTGACATGCGTTTATACCACAGCTCTCAAACTCTGTTCCTGGAGGGCCGCAGCTCTGCAGAGTTTTGCTCCAACCTAATCCAGCACAGCTGATCCAGCTAATGAAGGTGTTCAAGACTCTGACTCAGCTGTGTTTGATCAGGGTTGGAGCAAAACTGTGCAGAGCTTGCGGCCATCCAGGAATGGAGTTTGAGACCTGTGCTTTATACCCCTCTATAAATTCCCTCTCTGACACTAGATGGCGCTTAATGATTACAAAAATGCAATGGGCACTTCCCAAAAAAAAAACAAAAAAAAAACATGGCCACCGTATTAAAGTGCTTTGCCAAACTGAAGTGCTCAGAACTGGACACTTCGAAGGGCCCTCTGGAATGAAGGATTTCTAACAATGGAACTGACGGACACCTCAGGTTATCATGTTAAGCGCAGGGAGGCTGTTTGGAGGACACGCTTCTTGTGGCGTGAGCATCTCCTCTGATTATCTTCCTGCACTACAGCACACAAACACGGCTCAAACGCTTGCAGGATCAAGACAAGAAAGACAACGAAGTGAAATCAAACCAGCCGTCGAATTCTGCTTGAGCGCCACCAAGTGGTGTTTTACTTTAGCAGCTCGAGGTGTCAACAAAAGCAGTCAAGGTTTGTCAAACCAAATAAAGCGGAGCCCAAGTGTTTATTTTTATCTAAATGACACTCTCCTGCTGGGTGTGTTGTGTGTCGGTGCACACGCTCAGTTTGGCATACTTGTTGAGTCTGGAGGCGTTACACGTCATCAATAATCCTGCAGGATAATCGCCCGTGAGCTCGAGCCTGACACTGCCGGCGCTCCAGCACCCTGTTCAGTGTTGGACACGGCGGCGTTAGTTGTGTTAGCGCTCAGACACTGTTTAATGTGTGATCCCAGCACATCAGGGGAGGCATTAGGCAGAAGCAGGGTCAGGTGTGTTCGACATTTGGACAGTTCTGTTACCTGTGCTGCAAACGTTATTTTCTGTGGTCAAATCGAGGTGCAAATCGAACGGTGATTGAAAGCCCGAGGTCGGACTGTGCACATTGCTCATCGTAAAACGTCTACAAGAGATATGAATGACATAAACGGTGAGGAGGATGAGAGGAAAGAGGAAATCTTATAGAGTGAAACTGGAGTAATGTGCTGCATCTGTTTCTGAACACATCCTCTGCAACTCAACAGTCCTTCCATCAGCTCTCATCATTCAGACTCCGGCACACTGTTTCAGAGGTTATCTGAGGCTTTGCTTCGACTAATTCTGTGTGTGTCTGCGCTCTCCTGCATCACTGCATCCCTTCACACACCAGACAAATGCAGCTCTGCAGGATTAAAACTCTGTCTGTGGGACAGCAGACACACACACACACACACACACACACACACATACACACACAGTCCTACAGATAACTCACCACTTTCCGAGGCCGGTTCTGCTCCTGCGGTGTGCTCAGGTGTGTATGTTTGTCTCCGCTCAGGTGTGTGTGTTTATCTCCACTGTCCTCCGTCCGCTGGCAGGGCGGCCGGTTTCTGCTGTTCTGGAGTCGCTCGCTGCTCTTTCTGGAGTTCGGGTCCGAGTCTTCAGTGCGTCCTGCGGATGGAGAGCCGCTCAGTGCAGCGTTAGTTTTCCGCTCCAGTAATCTGCTCCCCAGTGCCCTCTGGTCCCGCACTCCTGGCTCCCAACACTCGGGTCTTTCTCCAGGTACAGGTGGAGGGGTAGGCAGGCGTCTGGCGGGACTGATGTTTGGAGACTGGTGTTTGGAGGAGTGTAGTGTATATTGGTCCAGCTCTCGCTCCCGCTGGCGCTCCTGTTCTCCGTTCTCCTGTGTGTGTTCTCCCTGCGGTGTATGTCGTCTTCCTCGTGGAGTGTAACCCAGAGCGAACTCCTCCAGCTCCACAGAGCCGCTGCGCCTGCGCTCCACACACACCTTCCTCTGCAGGTGCTCCGAGCGAGGGTTCCACCTGCAGGAACACCGCACATTACACCTGTTCTGCATCTCAACACTATAAACCGCCCCCCCTTCTGTTACCTGGGGTTCTCCTGAGTCCTGTGCTGATGCAGGTACCTTCCCTCACGAGCGGGAGATAAATCCAGCTTCCGCAGGTCAGCGGGGTCACTGAGGTCAGCGGGGTCACTGAGGTCAGCGGGGTCACTGAGGTCAGGGAGGGCTGGCAGAGCCTTCTTCTGGACGTGTCGATAGCTCTGACGGAAGTCAGCTTCTGCATGGTGTAATGAACTGAGCTCAGACACAGCGCCGGCTGCAAACACATCAGCACAGGACAGCCTCTGTTAACTCTGTTACACCATCAGTGTCATCTATTATTAGAGTATGAGCTTTAGTTCCTGCAGGACTCGCCATCACGAGCGCTTTCACTGCAGGAACACAGAGCAGAGAAGAAGACTGTTCAGGCAGCAGCCCTCAGTGTGTGTGTGTGTGTGTGTGTGTGTGTGTGTGTGTGTGTCTTACAGTCTGCACAGCTGCTCGGTGTGTGTGATGGGTTGAACTCTGCCAGCTGTTTCTCCACGTACTGCAGCATCTTCAGAGAACTGTGATCGGGCACAGGCTGCAGATGGAAACCACTGCGCACTGCAGAACATCAGGTGTGTGTTATAGGAGGAGCAGGGTCACAGCAGGGTGTTTGACTACAGTACGCTCACCTGCAGAGCCATTGTCCATTGACGCAGCACTGGACAGGTATGGCTCAATGAGGGAGGGCGGTGTGATGGGCACCATGGTGGGCATCCCGGGGATGTAGTATGGAGGGAAGATGGGCACCGGTGTGGGCACTGCCGACTTGATCCCTTTTCCTGCCTCATACACTGTTAGAGAAATACAAGAAACCAAGCTTACACGATACAGCACAAGTGTGTGTGTGTGTGTGTGTGTGTGTGTTACTCACGGTGTCGGGGGCAGCAGCAGGTGTCGGGGCAGCAGCAGCATCTGACGTAACAGCAGCAGGAATGAGGACAACACTGACACCAGCACACACCCACCAGCAGGAGGAGGAGACAACTGCCCAGCACCACAGCGCACACAAACACCCACTCTAACAGGACACACACACACACACACACACACACACACACACCATCAGACCACCACACACACTCACACACACACAGATAAATCAGTGTATGGAGCGTTACGAACACGTTTGCAGCCCCACTGACTCTGGTTTGAGCTGGAACTCACCGCTCATGAAGGAGTTTCAGAAATCCCAAATATGTGGAGCTCAGAGACACACACACACACACACACCACACACACACACACACACACACACACACACACTCAGTCAAGCAGATACACCACTCACCAACTGCAGGAGTGTGTGTAAGGGAGAGAGCAGAGATCAAACACACACATTTGAGCTCTCACAACTATTACAATTAAACACACACACACACACACACACACACACACACACACACACACACACACACACCCTTCCTCAGATGAGCCCTGTATGTGGGTTTCACATTCCATCATATTAGCAGTTCAGGACACAGAGGGCACCGATTCCCAACAATGATGAATGAAACACAGACACACACGTGCACACACACACACACACACACTGGAATGGCCTGTGTGTGTCCTGTATAATGCTGTCAGTATCAGTCAATATCAGAACAGCATCAGTGAAGCGGATGAGATGAAGGATGATGGTCTCTCTCAGGTGTTCGGTTATTGCCAGATAAAGGCACAGATAAAGTAGTTCCGGCAGGTTTAGAGCACATTACAGCTCCATATCACTACGCTGAATGATTAGAGATATTACACAGCTACAACAGGAGGAGATGTGGAGGACACTGGTGTTACACACACAGGAGACGCTTGAGGAGGACAAACTCCTGTCTAACACACACACACACACACCTGTACAGTGTGTTCAGCAGCGGTGCTGGAGGCCAGAGTGATGATAATGTTGGGTTATTAGAGAGTTACACACACACACACACACACACACACACAAGCTCTCCTGAACTCCAGCAGGACTGAGCTCCACCTGACGCACACACACACCTGTAGATCACATGATCAGTTATCAGTTATTGATCCTGCGTCTGTTATTGTGCCGTTTTACAGATGATTATCAGGAAATGACATCACAGGGAGATTAAAGTATTAGAAACAGGAAGTGGAGAGGGGCAGGTGAGCTCGTACCTGGAAGAATCTCCAGATTAAAGTCAGGCAGAAGATCATCAGCAAAACCTGTCTGACCTGCAGGAGAGGAGAGAGAGAGACGGAGAGCTGCAGCAGAGAGAGAGAGTGTGTGTGTGTGTGTGTGTGTGTGTGTGTGTGTGTGATGAGATCCATATCTGTCCTCTGTTCTGTAGATGTAGTTCTGTATGATTTAAATAATTTCCCTCATTTTTCTGATCAAGCTGGCTGTGTTGTGTGTGTCTGCTGTCCAATGACGGAGGTGATGCAGTGAGGTGATGCAGTGAGGTGATGCAGTGAGGTGATGCAGTGAGGTAAGGCAGTAAGGTGATGCAGTGAGGTGAGGCAGTGAGGTGATGCAGTGAGGTGATGCAGTGAGGTGATGCAGTGAGGTGATGCAGTGAGGTAAGGCAGTAAGGTGATGCAGTGAGGTGAGGCAGTGAGGTGATGCAGTGAGGTGAGGCAGTGAGGTGAGGCACTGAGGTGATGCGGTGAGGTGAGGCAGTGAGGTGATGCAGTGAGGTGAGGCAGTGAGGTGATGCAGTGAGGTGATGCAGTGAGGTGATGCAGTGAGGTGAGGCAGTGAGGTGAGGCAGTGAGGTGAGGCAGTGAGGTGATGCAGTGAGGTGAGGCAGTGAGGTGAGGCAGTGAGGTGAGGCAGTGAGGTGAGGCAGTGAGGTGAGGCAGTGAGGTGAGGCAGTGAGGTGATGCAGTGAGGTGAGGCAGTGAGGTGATGCAGTGAGGTGATGCAGTGAGGTGATGCAGTGAGGTGAGGCAGTGAGGTGATGCAGTGAGGTGAGGCAGTGAGGTGAGGCAGTGAGGTGAGGCACTGAGGTGATGCGGTGAGGTGAGGCAGTGAGGTGATGCAGTGAGGTGAGGCAGTGAGGTGATGCAGTGAGGTGATGCAGTGAGGTGAGGCAGTGAGGTGATGCAGTGAGGTGAGGCAGTGAGGTGAGGCATTGAGGTGATGCAGTGAGGTGAGGCAGTGAGGTGATGCAGTGAGGTGATGCATTGAGGTGAGGCAGTGAGGTGATGAAGTGAGGTGATGCAGTGAGGTGATGAAGTGAGGTGATGCAGTGAGGTGATGCAGTGAGGTGATGCATTGAGGTGAGGCAGTGAGGTGATGCAGTGAGGTGATGCAGTGAGGTGATGAAGTGAGGTGATGCAGTGAGGTGATGCAGTGAGGTGATGCAGTGAGGTGAGGCAGTGAGGTGAGGCATTGAGGTGAGGCAGTGAGGTGATGCAGTGAGGTGAGGCAGTGAGGTGATGCAGTGAGGTGAGGCAGTGAGGTGATGCAGTGAGGTGAGGCAGTGAGGTGATGCAGTGAGGTGATGCAGTGATGTGATGAAGTGAGGTGATGCAGTGAGGTGAGGCAGTGAGGTGATGCAGTGAGGTGAGGCAGTGAGGTGAGGCAGTGAGGTGATGCAGTGAGGTGAGGTGAGGCAGTCGGAGCTGTGACTCAGTCAGATCACTGCAGATTCCCCTGCACACTGGCTGGAGCTGGAGTCTTCTGCTGTCTTGGCCGTGCTGCTGATGTGATGCTGTATTCATGTGCTGTGTTGTACACTGTAGACATGTTTCTCTGCCCGCTGATGTATTCCAGGATTGTCCATCAGTTATGAGTGTGGGTCTGTCTGAAAACGCAGTGAACACACATGAGCGGAGGCAGGCAGTAGCTCTGCCGCACTGAAGGGGGCGCTCGCGAGCTCACAGGTACTCTTCTTCTTCAGTGTTGCTCCTGTAGTCCAGCACAGTTCAGCAGGATCACTGTATGCTTTGCTCTGACTGCAGAAGCGGCGGCTGGAATATCTCAGCTCAGACACTGGAGCTCAGTCACAACATGGAGAAATGAAGGAGCAGCAGCGCTGGAGCTGCAGGACGAGCGCAGAGGACGGACAGGAGATACTCCATCATCTCAGAGTCAGGCCTTCATCAACAAGTAAAGGTAAGACCAGTGTGTGTGTGTGTTAGAGAGAGAGAGAGTGAGCGCATCCGCCGTGGTGCTGTGTGTGTGTGTGTGTGTGTGTGTGTGTGTGTTGCTGTTATCAGCTGTCTGTACTGTCCATCTTGGTGTTTTTGGGACTCACACTGCCTCACTGTACATGTTACCGTCTCCCTGATCAAGTGTGTGTGTGTGTGTGTGTGTGTGTGTGTGTGTAAAGGAAACAGGAAGGAAAGGCTCTTTTGTCCTGCAGATCTCCTAATGTGAGTGCTGGAGTGTT